GACCCCTCCTCACAGCCAGGCCCCCGGCTGCAGCGCCCCCCTGCCTCTGTCCCTTTGGAAGCCTGACCCCTGGGAGCCAGGGCCTCACTGGCTCCTTCGTCCCCAAACGACCTTTGAAAATGGGACGTAAAGGCCGCAACGAGTCCAGCGCTGCTGGAAGGTGTAGCCCAGGGGGATGGAGACCCCCAGGGGACTTCACCACTTCTGAAAGCCTCAGCCATAACTTTCAGGCAGCTGAACTCAGACGGAGCTGGTAGAGTGCGGACGGCTTGGAAATCAGCTTTGGGTTTTCCCCACTAAAAAAAAAAAATCACACAGCATTTCAGATGAGGAGCCTCAGGGGAGCTGTAGTTTGGCTGCCTCACGGTCCCATTCTTCTTTAAGCCCTGGGCTACCGCTGTGACGGCGCGTTGAGGGTTCCCCGTCTCCTGCACCCCGAAATGGCACAACCAGACTGCACCAGCCAGTGGAATTGAGGGTGGTTTATTGCTCCTCCAGCACAGCGCAGCACAGATGTAATCTGGTTACAGGAACTGGGGCTAAGAGGCCTCAGTGCCCCCCCTTTTAGATAGGGGAGTCCCAGCCCCCTCCCCAGCTCCTTATACCCTGCCTTCCAGCGAGGAACTAAACCAGCCTCCTCCAGCCCTGCCCCCCAAGCCTGGGCAGCATTCCACCTTCCTTTGTTCCTCTCCATGGGGGGTGTCTGGCCACTGGTTCGACAAGTTTGGCCTTACCTCTGCCTAGCGAGGTTTTCCCTGCTGGGTCTTGCTCCAGACAGCAGGGGTCACCACAGCCCAGCAAGTACCCCCACTACGTCACAACCACGTTGGACTACATCTCCCATGATGCTCTATTGCTCCCTCTCAGCTGAGGAGGGCTGATTGCATCATGGGAGTCCCTGCTCTGCTGCATCATGGGGGATGGAGTCTTCGGGGAGCCCAGTCCATGGTAGGGAATGGAGGTGGGGGTGCAGGACTGACTGCTTTCCCGAGGGGCACTATGACAAGGTGTTTGCCCTGCTCTGGCCCTTCGAAGGCAGAACCCCCAGCCCCGAGGGAGGGCTGGGAGCAAAGCCCCAGCGGAGGCAGTTCTGGCTAAGGAGGGCCCAGCTGGGGGCTGTGGAAAGAGGGGCTCCCGGAGGGAGGGGGAACGGCCGGCTGCCCTGGACAGAGCAGGAGGGACCGGGCTGCCAGGGAAGCAGGAGGCTTCCTGGAGGTAGGGCAGGGCTGGGGAAGGCAGGCAGGGCTGGGAGGCTCTGGCCAAGCAACCCCCCAGCTGCTGAGCCTTATGCATGGCCTCAGGGCACAAGGGCTGCAGGGAGGCAGCAGGGCCACATCCCTTTGCCAGTGATGAGTGGCCATTACAGACTGCAATTTGCCCCTGAGGCAGGGGCTAGCTGAAGACTGGCAGTAGGTCCCTGGGCCAGTCTGGCAAAAAAAATCAGAAAATACGGCACAGACATTTTGAAATGGGCAGACTTCAAAATGGCCATGTTAAAAGGGCAATGCCTTCTCTGCTCTTAAAGGGGCAATCTCTTTTTTTTCTCAACACGTTTTGCGGCCATTTTTTTAGGGATGTGTGAGAGGGTTTCTCAAAAATCAAAAAGGGGGCACGATGCCGAAAAAGTCTGGCAAAAAAAATCAGAAAATACGGCACAGACATTTTGAAATGGGCAGACTTCAAAATGGCCATGTTAAAAGGGCAATGCCTTCTCTGCTCTTAAAGGGGCAATCTCTTTTTTTTCTCAACACGTTTTGCGGCCATTTTTTTAGGGATGTGTGAGAGGGTTTCTCAAAAATCAAAAAGGGGGCACGATGCCGAAAAAGTTGGTAATCACTGAGCTAGATGAAGGCTGGCAGTGGGTCACTGAGGCAAGGTGGGTCCAGGGGATCTGGGTGTTTCCTGGGAGAACACGGTGCCCTGGGGACGTGAGGACCCTGGAGTGTGAGCAGGATAAACACCAGGGGGGCTCAGACACTGGAGCAGGCTCTGGCAGAGGGCCGTGTCCTGAAGAGGACGCCATGATCAAAGAGAAACACGGAGAGACGCCAGCTAGAGGGAGGTGTCCAGGGAGTCATCGAGCTAATTCCCAGGACTGCCGGCTGGAGGCGCCATGGTGGTGAGTCTGCCCTGTGACAGGCACGTTTGCTTGCACCATGGCTGGTTGGTTTGGCCCTGGGGAAGTTGGAAGGGTCAGCGCTGCGGGTTTTTTATATCTGTCTGTTCAATAGTCCTCTGCTCACTGCTGCTTTCTGGTTTGTGTTTCAGGTTCTGCTTTGTTGTTTCCGCCCAGGACTGCCGGCTGGAGGCGCCATGGTGGTGAGTCTGCCCTGTGACAGGCACGTTTGCTTGCACCATGGCTGGTTGGTTTGGCCCTGGGGAAGTTGGAAGGGTCAGCGCTGCGGGTTTTTTATATCTGTCTGTTCAATAGTCCTCTGCTCACTGCTGCTTTCTGGTTTGTGTTTCAGGTTCTGCTTTGTTGTTTCCGGGGTGTATTCGGGGGTTGTGTGTTGGTTGGGATGGGGGGGGCGTTCGGTTTGGTTTTACTGTGGGGTTGGCGGTGGCGGCTGCCCCTCTGCCCCCGGGGGGGGGGCGGGGTGATCACAGGGGGGCAGTCAGGTGCCTCCTGGAGGTTTGCTTCCCACCTGGTACTGCTTCACCGCCACCGCCACCGTGCCTGTAACATGTGGGAGAAACGGGGCAGGAAGGCCTCGCGTTCTGCGGCTGAGACTGAAAGCAGCTGCCCTTTCATGACTTTCTAACCTCCTTCCTCCTGAGCAGCTACCATACGGCACACGCCCTTCAGAAAGCGCAGGGGCTGGTTTCTGTACAGCAACTCAGTCACCCTCAACCATTGTGGTACTGTAGTATACACAGTGATAAACAGTCCTACAAAAACCTCTCTGCCTTCGCGCTCTCTGCACACGACACCGGTTCTCACGCTCACACGGCAGGTCCCCCATTCCCCCGCCCTGCCAAAACACTGAGCTTATCGACTGAAAATAGGGGCTCCATCATCCCCTCTGGGAAAGCGCCTGCCCCCCCAGCTGGTGTAAATCAATGTCACCCCTTTCCGGTCAGTGGCTCTCTGCCAATTAGCATAGGTTGGGAACTGACCCTACATTTCCTTAGTTATTTTAAGGGGCACCTATAGAGAACTTGGCTGGGATTCTCAAAGGAGGCTGGGGAGCTAGACACCCACATTACATTGACTTCCAAAGAAAAGTTTGTCCAGAACTTTCTTCAGCTATTTGGGAAATCTTCCCTTTAATGTGCTGGGGATTTTTGTTTCTGAAATTATAAATGTCCTCTTGTTTCAGATAGGCACCTTGGGAAGGGGGCTTTTTGTTTCTGAAATTATAAATGTCCTCTCGTTTCAGATAGGCACCTTAGGAAGGGGAAGTCCCCAGACAGCACTGAACTATTTTAAGATCCTTTCAAAATCTTAGTTTGAGACTCAAATTTTCAGAGTTGCCATAGGCATTCAGTGCCATAAAACCAACTTCTACCGGCATTCTTGTAGCGCATCAGAAAGAATTGGAGAACACGAGAACCAGAAGGGACCTTGAGAGGGCAACCAGTCCAGTCCCCTGCCCTCATGGCAGGACCAAACATGGTCTAGCGCATCCATTACAACTGTCTGTCCAACCTGCTCTTCAATAGCTCCAGAGATGGAGATTCCACAACCTCTCTAGGCAACTTATTCCAGTGTTTCACCAGCCTGACAGGCAGGAAGTTTTTCCTAATGCCCAACCTCAACCTCCCTTGCTGCAATTTAAGCCCATTGCTCCTTGTTCTATCCCAGAGGTGAAGGAGAGTATTTATTGTCCTTCTCCATGTCACAACCTTTTCGGTACTTTCAATAGTTTTCATGTCCCCCCTTAGTCTTCTCTTCTTCAGACTAAACAAACCCAACTTTCTGAATCTTCCCTCCTTCGTTATGGTTTCTAGGAATTTAATGTGACCCGGCAACTCTCTTTACACTTTGAAAATGAAAAGTGCGGCTGTTAGTGCCTAATCATAATAATGGTAATAAATCCTATTTTCTAGGAACACCGTCTCTATTAGGAATCCTTTCTCCTGAGTGGATCTCAGAACACCGTATGGAGGTCAGCGCCTCCTTGCACAGCGTTTGAGTATTTGGTTGATCAATCAGTTGGGTTTTCATTCGGTTGCTCATTGGTGTGTTTATTCGCACGGTTACATGCGAGGGCCAGTGGAGGGCAAATCCAGGCCCATGGGCTGGATCCGGTCTGCCAAGTTTACCCCCGTGGCCACAGATCGCCGTTCTTGGCCAATGGGAGCTGCGATGGCCCGGACCTGCAGCGGTGCAGGGAAATACAGCGGCCGTGACCCACCAGGGGCTCTTATCACCCAACCAAGCCAGATTCTGCGATCATTGGTCACTGGCACCACAAAGTCCTGGCATGGCCAAGCCCCAGCTGGGATGGGTCCTGGTTGAGCAAGGGGGTTGGATTCGACGCCTGTTGAAGTCTCTGCCCACCCTGGGAGACTGTGATCCCAACACGCAGGGGCAGGGGCCGGGTTTCCAGCTGTGGATCTGTACGCGCTCAGTCAGCCCGGGGCCTTGGACCTGTGCTGCCAACTTCACAGGGACTCTTCCCTGGCGTCTCACAGGTGCCTTATTCATTTCACAGTTTTATGGCTTGCGCGATTTGCTGCGCGGTGTCTGATTGCCCCCGGGTCTGGGGCTGGGTGACATATTTGGGTGGCTCCATTTGTTCTTTCTTCATTTTGATTGTTTGTTGGCTCGCTGGGTTAGTTGTTTAGTTACTTAGTTGGTTTCCTGAGGGAGAAGGTGGGTGACCGGGTGGCTGATGTTTAGGGGGCTGGTTTGCTAGGATGGCACGTTATGAATGATTATTGTTGCTATTGTTAAAATCATTTCATTGCTTGGCTTATTACATCCCTATGGCTCTGGTCAATGGTACCATTCGGTGTATTCCCACGGCTACAGGTCTGGTTACTCTCTTGCTATTGTTCTGCTCTGATGCTGTTACCATTGTGCATGTTAATACGACATTGTCAAATTGCCAGCGGACTTGCCTGGCATTACCTGGGTCCTCCAGGGCAGGGCTTTGAGGACAGGTGGGCACAGGAGGCGGGGGCCAGGATGTGTTCTCTTACCCCACCCGCTCCCCACCCTTGCCATGTTATGGAAAACTGGCCTTTTCCCAGAGCTTCCAGTTGTCTTGGCACAACCAAACTCCGACCTGGCTTTAAGAAAGGAGAAGAGGAAGCTGCATCCCAAATTAGGTGGCCCTAGCTCTACATAGATAGATAGATAGATAGATAGATAGAGGGGTGTGTGGGGATAGATAGATAGATAGATAGATAGATAGATAGATAGATAGATAGATAGATAGATAGATAGATAGATAGATAGAGGGGGTGTGTGGGGATAGATAGATAGATAGATAGATAGATAGATAGATAGATAGATAGAGGGGGGGTGTGGGGATAGACAGACAGACAGACAGACAGACAGACAGTGGGAGAATAGATAGATAAGTAGATACTCCCCATTTTTATTTCCACAATGTGGATTTATTTCTGTTTTGACTTTTTCATAAATTGAGGAGACAAAACTGAGAATTGACAGCTCTCACTCTCCCTCCCTCCTAACTGCCTTTAAATCTCTTCCAGTGACAAGAGAAAGCTCTGTGGATTTTGTGGCCTCTAACTGCATTCCCCTCCACCCCCCGTTACTCCCAGCCTTCCCAGGGCAGTTGATGTTTGTCTGGGCTGGCCACACACCTGTGACTTGCCTAGAGCGCATTTTCCCACGCCGAGTTGGTGGTTTGGGTAGAGCCCTTCCCACAAACCACAAGGCTTTCGGTTCCTCCGACTCAGCAGGGAAAGCGTCCGTCGATTAACCACTGCGATGTTTCAGTTGTGCACATCAGTCGTTGTAACATCCGCTCTGTTCAGTGTGTTGCAGAGGAAAAACTCGGCAGGAGGCGCTCATGTACCGTGGTTTGTGTGTGTGGCAGGCGAGAACGGGGGCGGGGTGCATCTGCATGTGAGAAGGAAAGAGAGACACAGTGATCCTGTTTCAGAGTGTGTGTGGGGAATCTCAGGGGTAGATTTATCTGCACCTGCCCCCTTTATGGGTTACAGGAGACCAAAGGGGGCTCTGAAAGGAGTCAGCAGGACTAGGGCTTGTGCCATTTGTGGTTGGTTGATTTTGGATCAAAGAGAGGACAGTCCATTGTTTTCTGTCAAGAGCCAAAATTTCTTGGCCAAGGTCTAGTCAAGGTCCAGACTCCAGGGAAAATAATAATAATAATAACAGACGATGATCTTACTATCTATTTTAGAAATGTGCATCTGTCTGTCTGTCCATCCCTCCCTGAGTCCGTTTGTTCTAGAACACCTAAAAGGTAAGAGCTAGGACCACCGCACTGGGTAGGCAGCTCTTCTCATAACTTACTGCAAGGTCAGGGGTTGGCTGAGCCGGGACAAAGGGACGTGCCTGGAATTCGACAGTTTCTCACAAGATGGAAAGGGAGGGATCTGGGATGAGGGAGTTCCACTGGAGAATGACCACAGGGGGGCAGCGAGGGACCAGCGATGGGGACTTGGGACAGCTATAATCCCACCGGGCCAGCAGGGGGTGGTAGTGGAGGGACAGCATCTACTATATATAGCTACTATGTAGTTCAGAATCTATCTATCTACACACACACACACACACACACACACACCTGCTTGTGTGTCTGTCTGTCTGTGTGTCTGTCCCTCAACCAGGGGACGTGCACCCCACCCTCAGCTGTGCTCCCTGGATCTGCAGCAGCCATGGAGAGATGCTTCTCACCCGGCCCCGAGCTCCTGCGGTGAGAGGGGGTTGGGGTTGTCCTCTCTCTCTGGAGCAGCCTGCACCCTGAACCCCGCATTCCCTGCTCCCCTCCAAACATTGCTTTAAATGAAGAAAAACAAAACTCATTTGAGTAGGGACCCGGGCAATGCTGGGTAAATCTTCTAGTAAGTTGTGGTGGTATGTTGGGGCCCCTCCCCCCCCGATCCTGCACCCTGTCTGCCGCAAGATGAGACTCCACCAGCCGGTAGAATATCGGGGGTTTATTGCTTCTGCAAGGTACCTCACAGCCTGAGTTCTACGTGAGCATCGAAGTGAAGGGCCAGGCAGCCTCAGACCCCTTGGGGTGGGGTCCACAGGCCCCGAATCCCCAGGACTCAGCTTAGTCTCTTCTCCTCATGTTTCCCAGCCAAGACTCTCCCTCTTCCCCAAACCACCCCCTTCCTTTGTTCAAACTCCTTCCCTCTCTGCTGAGAACCAGTTGGGCCATGCTCTACACAGGAGGGCCCTCAGGGTGAGCCCCCCACCAAGAACCAGTTGGGCCATGCTCTACACAGAAGGGCCCTCAGGGTGACCCCCCCCACCGGGCAGTGCTTACAGACAAAGGCCAGTAGGGGTCACCCAGAGCCCTAGTGGCCAGAGAATGGACCGTACCCCCCACTACATCACATAAGTAAATAAGAAAAATGGTCCCTTCTAAAGCATTTGTCAGTCCAGGTTTGGCCCACTGTCCACCTATTGACTGGTCCAATCTCAGATGAATAAAATACCAGTTTTGAAACGTTCTTAGATTCAAGGGCGCGACCTTCCCTTGTGGTTTCCTTCGTGGTCTCTCCAACCCTACTTTCTCACCCTGGGACACCGGGCAACACCTCGTGCCTCCCGGAGATGCCTTCTTGCCTCACTCCTGCTTTGCTCCTCATCACGGTGCCCCAGTAGCCTGGCACAGAGGTAGCGGGCACTGTCGGCTCTTGTCAGGGACCTCAGCTGGAAATAAAACTGGTTCTTGGACACGTCCCTGGTGATTGCGATTCGGCTCTGAAATGATGGGGCATAGCGTGCATTGCCCTGATAGTCGATCCATCCCAAGCACTCCAGCCCTTTCTGGGGACTGTGCTTGAGCCAATACCAGTAGGTTCCTGGAGCCGTGATGTAGACACCATACACAGCACAATTCACTTGCAGCGTCTCCGAGGGCTGCGCTGTCGCTGGGCCAAACTCCACCAGCTGGAATGGGGGGAGGTCACCTGGAGAAACGGAGGAGAGGTGCACAATGAACAGACCGGTCCTGCCAGGCTGGCTCCCCCCTCCTCACCCCCGGCATCCTCTGCAAAGCACTCACACAGCACTGGGGCAGCCAGGGAGAGGAGCAGGAGCACAGATCCCCCCATTGCCACCGCCCCAGAGCAACGCCAGGGGGCCACCTCCGCCTGGGAGTGGAGACAAATGCCAGGAGCTTCCGGACAGGAAATCCAAGTGGTTGCAGGGCCTAGGACACCCAGCCACTGGGGAGAACCCCGGCATCCTCTGCAAAGCACTCACACAGCACTGGGGCAGCCAGGGAGAGGAGCAGGAGCACAGATCCCCCCATTGCCACCGCCCCAGAGCAACGCCAGGGGGCCACCTCCGCCTGGGAGTGGAGACAAATGCCAGGAGCTTCCGGACAGGAAATCCAAGTGGTTGCAGGGCCTAGGACACCCAGCCACTGGGGAGAA